TAAATGCAGTCAGTCAAAAATTAGTTGATGTCATTAAATTACGGAGAGACAGACGTGGAGAGCTATGAAATATGATGTGTGTGATCCAGCTGTTTTTAAACATGTGAGTAGAAGCAGGTCTCCAGACAGTGAGCTGCGATGGCCGAGTGGTTAAGGCGTTGGACTTGAAATCCAATGGGGTTTCCCCGCGCAGGTTCGAACCCTGCTCGCAGCGCTACAACACTGTTAAAGCAATTCTTATTCTGAAATCATCACGATCAACTCGTATAACTGCAAACAGGCAATAATGCAAAACTTGTGACGAACCAAATGTTTGCTCATGAGACAGAAGATTTTCCTCAGACGGATGCAGGAGAGTGAATGCTGCAGTGACCAGGTGGATGTAAAAGGTTTCATCCAGGAGACTAGAGTTTGACTCCTGCAGTCATTATGGTTTCATCTTTTTAAGTCTCGTTTTAACTCTCACTCGCTGATTTTCACTCAGTATTTTGTTGCATTTTCTGTTGTTGTTTGTTTAACTTCAGGCAGCAAAATTAAAAATTTGGGTTAAGAAAAAGATCCTGGTTTGGGATAGAAGACACAGTTGTCACTACCTTTACCACATGTTACGAAGCTCCGCTGGACATTCTACACATTTATTCACTGATTCATCAAATCACAAGTTTGTGAATAAGTGAGTGAGAGTTAAAACGAGAAGGAAAGGAGTTAAACCTTTTACATCCACCTGATCACTGCAACATTCACTCTCCTGCATCCGTCTCAACCGTCTGAGGAAAATCTTCTATCTCATGAGCAAACATTCAGTTTTCTTTTGGCCTTTCTTCACAAGTTTTGCATGATTGCCTGTTTGCTACTATATGATATATATATATATATATATATATTGATTGTGATGACTTCAGAATAAGAATTGCTTAAATAATGCTTAAACGATGCGAGCAGGGTTCGAACCTGCGCGGGGAAACCCCATTGGATTTCAAGTCCAACGCCTTAACCACTCGGCCATCGCAGCTCACTGTCTGGAGACCTGCTTCGACTCACTTGTTTAAAAACAGCTGGATCACACTGAGAGAAACATCATATTTCATAGCTCTCCACGTCTGTGTCTCCTTCTGCTGCTGTGATTTAATGACATCAACTAAAATCAACCGACTGCATTTCAATGAGCATCTACTGACATTAACATCATGGATTTATTTGCAAAGTCAATCACTGCAGCACCGATTTTGGTTTAAAGTCAAATGACAGAAGAATGAAAATGGTCAGATTTCAAATCAGAGATGGCTGAGCAGTAACTCTGTTGAATATTTGAGCTGTGCTGGTTAATTGAAAAGCTTCACAGGGTGACGTCATCTAAAAGTGTTTGACAGGTCCTTCGGGGTCAGTAAAGTAGAAAAGGTGTTTGGTGCAGCGGCTTGTTGGACTCGTGGAGCGTCCGACTCACCCTCTGTGGGGACGACAGGCAGCCCGGAGCCACCAGCAGCAGGACGAAGGTCAGGAACTGGAGCAGAGTCGACTTCCTGCAGACAAACAAACAGCGAGAGGCGGTTGGTGACGTCAGAGCTGTTGTTCTACGCTTGAACACAAGAGTAAAGAAGGTGCAGCAGAAGCGTTTGAGCAGGAGGACAGAAGAGGAGCTGACAAACAGCACAAGGTCTTTAGGTCACTGATAATATCCACAATAAGCCGCCACGCCGCTGAGCAGGAGCCAAGGTCAGGAATTCCCCCCCATCCAGCCAGTATCATTAATTCCCCCGGACCAGTCGCCCCACTCTCCCCCACAGAGTCTTATTAACTCCCACACAACCGGAGAGGGAGGCAGCACCAAGCCCGAACCCCCCTCCTCACCTCCTGTGTGACTGTTGACCCCGTTACATAAAAGGATGCAAGAAAACCAGAATGTCCTGCTGTGTCTACATGGAGCCCTTTTACTTCACTAATAATCTGAATTACAGCTCATATGGATGCATCGACTCAGAGAGAGCTCAACCTCAGCCTGGTTCAGTTACTGTCCTGTTGTCCTGTTGTAATCTGCGGATTAGTTTATTGATCATTTGTCCACTTTATGATGTCTTGGTTTGTTTGAATATCTAAAGATATCCAGTTTATTATCAGACATGTCCAAAAAAAAAACATGAAAATCCTCATTTTAGCTGATATGAGATATGATGTGAGATATGATATATGGGATATATGATATGACTTAATATATATATGACATGAGATATGGTATGAGATATTATGTGATATGAGATATATGATGTAATATATGACATGATATATATTATATGAGATATATGACATGAGATATATGTGATATGAGATATATGACTTAGTAAATGATATATGAAAAATTATATATGATGTGATATGCAATGCAATATATGACATGATATGAGCAATGAGAGATTATGACTATGACATGAGATATATGAGATATGATATGATACGATATATATGAGATGAGATATGAGATACATGTGAGATACATGATGAAATATATGATGTAATATATGATATGAGATATGATATACATTTATGAGATACATGACATGAGATAAATGAGATATGACATATATGATATGATATGATATATATGAGATGAGATATTATGAGATACATGTGAGATACATGATGAAATACATGATGTAATATATGATATGAGATATGATGTATATTTATGAGATATATGACATGAGATATGATATATGACATGTACAATATGTGATATCATGAGATATGATATGTGAGATATACAATATGAGAAATGACATATGATGTGATATCTAATTCAGAGCACTTATGTAAAAATGAAGCAATCAAGTTCAACAATTCATTATTATAACACACCATAATAATGAATTGTTGAACTTGATTGCTTAATTTTTACAAAAGTTCCTGAAGGAAAAAAAAATTAAATTGGGGCTGTTGCGTCAAAAAAGCCACGTAATGTTCACACTAAATGAAATACTAAAAGCCAACCCTCCTTACAGCTGCACCATTACATCGCAAAACATATCCGAGTGTGTCTTGTGTATAAGTTGTGTAAACTAATACACATCAGTTGGCCTCTCTGTAAACTGTGGGGGGTCCAGTGGAAGCTAGAATGAAGCTCTGAGGGTTTGAATAACAGCACGGTTTGTGAGTTCACAATGATGAAACACCAGCAGGAGTCAATGTGCCGAGTTTGACTCTGACAGAAGAATAAACCTCCTTTATGTTCCACTGAATCAGCATCTAAACTGAGTCAGCAGCAGCTACCAGCAAACGCAGCGCTGACTCTGAGTCACTTCAAGGTGCGACCAGATAAGATCTGCCCGAGAGGACATTTGTTCTACAAACTGCCTCGTCTTCGTCTTCGCCTCGAGGCCAAGAGCCGAGGATCCGTCTCTCTCCACCTCTGACTCATCAAAGGACAAGTGCCTTTTTCTGAGAAGTCCCTCTGGTTCCTGGAAAGCCCCTCTCTATCCCTGTCTTTGATTGCTTCCTGGCACTGCTGCTTCACTGACACTGTCTCATACGTTTCTGTTTTCTGACGGAACATTTTCATTAACAGGAGAAACACGCGGGACAGACGGCGCTTGTTAAGCTGCAGCAAAGTCCATCTTCTCGGTTTCTCCCGTCCTCTCCGGTGTCTCACTTACAGCAGCCTCCAGCCCGTCCGTCATCCTCCTTTTATCTCTCCACCGGGTCATAAACACAGAGTCGGTCCGGAGCGTTTGGAGTTTTGGCTCGGTCCCAGGTCAGTAGTTGCCCCGTCCAATTAAACGATACACATCTCGCTCACGCTCGGCTGAGCAGCCCGGCCCTGCACAGCCGCCTCCAGGCCTTACAAGGGGGGATTCTTATCAGAGAACAGAGAAGGTCGCGCTGACCGAGAAGGAGAGCAGATGGATGGATGGATGGACGGCGCCTTCACATTTCTACATTAACTTTATTCTACTTCCAGCATGTTTGCTGCATCACTTAAGAGCCGCCGTGTCTGCAAGTGTCACCTTTTCAACTTCAAATCCAACCCCAAAAATTCCATGCAACTAAACTGCATGTATGTTTGGAAAGAAGCGTGTTTTCTCCCCAACTGGTTTGACTGAGACGTAGCAGAAAAAGGCCGTTTGAAAAAGTCCAATGAAGGGCTTTGTCTGACTCGAGTGTTCTGTTTTAAATCACTTCTTAAAACCCATTTTTACAGGCTTTTATAGTTGTTTTGTTCATATTATTCTCTTCTACCTTTATTTATTTACATATTTATTACATTTATCTACCATGACTAGTATTATTATTTTTAGCCTTATGCCATTTTTGTTTGTTTTCAGGATGCATTTTGTAAATCCTTTACGGTGTATAACTCTATTTTTTTTCCAGACTGAGCGGCCTTCTGTTGTTTCATTGTCGTCCTGAATACCCTCCTTTATTTTTTTTCACACTTAGTGAACTCTTTTTTTAAAAGGCGCTACATAAAGTATTATTTAGTTTTAGACTCGTATTTTTAGTCCAAAGTTCTGTTTTTTTCATCCACTGTTCCATAACTAAATACAGCCCTTTGGGGTAAAATCCGACCTTTTCACAGCATGTTTGAAGCATTTCCTCCATTTTCTGGGTTGCCATGGTGATAAGCTCTGCCCTTTTTAATACATGGTGAGTTTGCCAGAAAAGGACCAACGGTAAAGTAGTAAAATAAACTAATGTGTCGACTTCAGTTTTAAATGTGACGCATCATAAATGTTATCTGGAGGAAAACATGGTTCTCTCACAATGTGACTGAAAAAGAGGTTTAGTTGTAAAGAAGTATAATTTTATGATTTTTGGTCAAATTATGTCATTTTTTAGGGACAGAATCTACTGTTTTATAAATCTGGGTGCATTTGTCCAACAATTCACCAAGTAGCAGACACATATAATCCATCAAAATGAGTCTGGATTTATTTTTGTCAGTGTTTAAACTGCACAGTAACTGAAGCTGCAATGATTGATCAATTAGTTGTCAACTATTAAACAGTTTGAGTATTTTTTTTTACAAGAAAAAAGTTTAAATTCTCGGGTTCCAGCTTCTTTTATGTAAATAGTTTCTGATTTCTTTCATTCAAGACATTTGAGAAAGCCTCATTTACATTTTCCCTCGTTTTCTGACGCTTTTAGACCAAACAGCAACTCAATTAATCATGAGAGCAATCGACAGTCAAGATAATGGTTAGCTGCAGCCCTGATCGTGACAGAGTTCAAGTCTTTACTGATTTGAACAGACTGCACTTCATTACTTCACAATAAAAGTGTCAGGGGTGATGGATTACTCAACACAATCACTTTGCAAGAATCTGATGACTCATTTTCACAATGCGCTGGAATGATTGTAAACCGACGGCTGCCCGGAAAAGTAGAAAATACACAGAAATGTTTCAAATTAAAAAAAGGCTTGTTGAGACATAGATAATATATTTTACACAGTATTCATCGGTTTAAATATTAATGTGATTCCAATATTTGCTGTTGTCTGCGGATCAGAGATGGAAAAAGAATTCAGATCCTTTAATGAAGGAGATAAAAATGCTACAGAAGTGCATTAAAATCCTACTTAAGTAAAAGTTTGGTCCCTCTGACTGCTATATTATTAGATTATTATAGTGAAGCACCAGCGTGTCAGCAGCTTGTTGCCGTTGTAGCTGCTGAACTCCTTTAAATCCAGTTTTATATTCAGAGACAGAAGATAAATCAGAGGCTCCAAACATGATTAATAGGAGAAGACAGAAAAAAAAGCTCTGATCCACAAATCTGTTTTCAGTTTTTCCTCTAATCTTTGATTTCTGGTGAGATATCGGCTCGTTTTATTGAAATGAAGCCATGTGAGAAGTTTAGAGGGAAAAATTATGATTCGGTGCAGCTGTTAACTGAAATGTGACGCCGACGAAAGACGGCGAAACCGTTGTAAATCACTGAGTTCGTCTAAAACTGTGTGTGGTATTTTTAAAAGCTTGTTATTTATTGTGTCACATGTTCATCTTGAAAGTAACTGAAGCTGTCAGACAAATGTGGTGAAGTAATACGACAATTGTTCCCTCTAAAATGTAGAGAAATTAAGAGAAAAAAACAGCATAAAAATGAAGTTGGCTGCTTTCCACTGCTGCACTAACTCTTATCGTATTAATGCATCAAATGACTGTGTAATGTTGAAGAAGTTGCTCTTAGTGATCAAAAACAGAGAATTAACACATAAAGGAGCAGATATTTCCAACAGGAGCTGCATGGATGAGACCAAAAAAAGTGTTCAATTTAAAGTTAAGGTTGGACTTAAATGTGCTGAGTGAGCAGAAACACGACTCAGTCTATCTGCTGCATGACTTTACAGTTAACTATTTGCTCTTAGGTTTGTTTAAATAGCTTTATGAAGTGACATATTGATGCATCTGCTGCACTAAAGTCGCCAAAATCTAGCAACTGCTGCATTTCAAACAATGTACTGAACAACTAAGATTTTTGTTAAAACAGAAAAGAAACATCATTAGAGGGAAACTGCTTCACAGACGAC